ACTCTACTACTACTACCTACTCTACTACTCTACTCTTACCTACTACCTACCGTCCTACCGTACCGTACGTCGTACGTACGTCTACTCTACTACTCTCTACTCTCTCTCTCTCTCTCTCTCTCTCTCTCTCTCTCTCTCTCTCTCTCTCTCTCTCTCTCTCTCTCTCTCTCTCGTATAGCCTCTCTAAAGTTAGAAAATATTATAGATAGAAAAAAAAAAGGGGGCATGCCCCATCCCTAACATAAGAGAGGTGCACACCTACACCTTGTAGACATTGAGGCCCAATTATGTTATATCATTGCTCTTTATTTGATTAAAGGTTGTAACTTAAGGTTTCCCATATTTTGAAGATCTAAGATAGACTATTGATCTCGTGCACTATTAGAGGAGGAGACCCGAACTGGGGTGTGCAAAGTCAATTGAGGTAATCCTCTAGCAATCTTCTGTAGGGCTTGCAATCGTATGTTTATGTGATTTTTGTTTATTAAATAAAATAAGTTCTATTAGTGGCATCAATGGAGAACCTTGTTTGTAATTGATGTTGGTTGATTTTGAGTTGATTTAATTGTATTTAGATCTTTGTAAGTGTTCTAACCAATATAAGGAATAAAAATAAAAACTGTATATATTGTTCTAGATCACCCTGTTCAACTTTCACTTAGCATTGTGCCTTGGTACTGGCTTCTATTATTCGATTAGTTCTTAGTATTTCAATTAAACAAGTTACATCTAATGATGATGGATTTCAATTGAGTGTAGCCTGTGCAATTGATTAAAGCCCCTGATTTAAAACTTGGTATGTAAATTATTTATTAGTATATATTTACCTCTTGGGGAGAATATCCTTTGTACTAGGGTTCATAGGTTCCCAAGAATCATGTAACTTTTAAATCACTTTCTTTATTGCTAGCAACTTAGTATTTATATACTCAAGGACTTGTAAAAGTTGTTTTGCACATGTGATGGAAAGTCTCAAACTATAATTGTATTTGAATTGTCTGAGTTGAGTTCATATTCTTCCCTTGTTCTATTGAAACTAGATTATGGCCTTTCTTGTGTCTTCATAGTAGTTAAAAGGGTTTTGTTCTCACATCAAGGTGCAACTTGCTTATATGGGCATGTCACTTGAACTTGTGATATGATTACAATTGTAGATGATTCATTCTATTCATGAACTTTTGTTGCATTTATAATAGTTGTCTAATTTTTGTAATTGAAGTGAATGCATACCTCAATGATAATGATGAGGTCCCTCTCTATATTGGGTACAAACTTTTCTTCCTTTATTTCCTTTGTTTGTGACCTGAGGTTCACAATTTCATGTTCTGAATGTCCAAGTCTCATATCTTTACCACAAGCCAGCCAGAACTTGCAACTATTGTAACTTTCAAGGCTCCTCCAATTTTATAGGTATGGCTTCTTTTACCTTACATATGGTCATATTGAATTATTCAATTTAGATAACAATTTTATAATATACGGACTCTAGAAATGATAGTTGTCTGTTGTATTTTATACAGGAAAAAAGGCTTAAGTTCAGGAGATGTTTTCAAAAGTTGCAACGTCTTTGGCTCAAAGTTCAAAACTCTAGCAGTTACTTGAACCCCCATCTCCAAATCACTATAATCAATACAAGAACTCAACATAATTCTCTAGCTCCAGAAAACCAGTGCCAAAATGTGAACCCAAGATCCAAATTTCTGCTATTTTCAAGAGCCCAACCCTAGTAAACAAGTATAAGAAAGTTGCAACAACAAAGAGAGAGCAGCAAGTTGCATGCAATAGTTTCATATGCCCTCTTATTGGTCTCTTATTGAGAGAGAGAGTTACATATGGTCTCGTATGGGATTCTTTGTCTTATTATTTTTGAGATTTTGTGGATAATTATATAGCTTTTGGGGCTATTGAGTTTGTATTATGGGGAAGTTTCAAGGATGAATTGTGACTTTTGCTAGGTCTGGGACTAAGGTATTAATTGTCCAATTATTTTTGAGGTTTTGTGGATAATTATATAGCTTTAGGGCTATTGAGTTTGTATTATGGAGAAGTTTAAAGGATTTTCAGTTCATGGGAGGTAGACGAGAAAATAACATGTTTGATCGAGTTGCAACTACCTTAGGCATGTTCTTTGTTATCTACTCCTTTAAGTTTCGTTGATTTTTGCAGAATCATTTTTTATTTTGTCGGATTACTTTTTTATCTTTTTCTCTCCCTTAGTTCTATCCTTTGGTGCTTGGAATATGAAGATGGTTGATGCTTCTCTTGAATATCAAAAGCGTAATTTTTATCTTCCTTTTATTATGTTATAATGACCCCCACTCATGATGGTTAGATATAATTTGGTGTCTAATGGTGTGGTGTGATCTATTTGGGCAATTATTTATGAGTTTCTCTATCTCTTTGTGGGTTTCTTGAATGTATAATTCTAATTTGTTGCTTGGTTGCTCATGTGTGAGTTTGCTATGAATTGGCTTACGTGATAGACCATAGCCTGAAAATGTTATATCGAGAAACTTCACTTTTAACAATATTAAAAAAAAAAGAAAAAAACCTTCACTTTTGGCCCTTAAAACATATCGAAGGGATCGATGTAATTGGAAGATTTTTCTGGCCAAGTTTTTTTTTAAACATTAGGATCTTTGGAGTTTAATTTAAATAACAAATAATTTAGGCTGGCCTTAAAAGAGAAATTTGGGGCTAATTTGGGGCTAGGCTCGTTCTACCAAGGTTAAAATAACAAATACAATATAGGAGAAAGTGGGTTTGTGAAATTAGAAAAAATTTATCACTTTTGGGCGTTATTTATTTTATTTTGTTGAGATGAGATGGATGTGCAAGAAGAAGTTTCTTTAACTAATAATCTGATTCTTTTTTTTTTGGGGAAAAAGTTTATAAGGATGCAACCTTATAATGTAGAACTACGAATGCACCTCAAAAATCCATCAGAAAAGGTAGTTTTAATGTTGAAAAAACTTTTGATTGATCATCTCGACATCGAGATGTATGACCATGAAAAATAAAAAGATTTTAAGTCTAAGAATAATGCATTTTACAACATATTATCTACACCGTCTATTTTCAAGATTTTCATATGTTTATAGATCTACTTGA